TGAACTGACCAACCCCACACCCTGAACTGACCAACCCCACACCCTGTTCACCCCCCCTGCTTTGCACTGTCAGTGGGAGGGAGTGGGGAGAAGATCGGTGTCTTTGAGGATTTTATTTCTCATTTTCCTCCTCTGATTTCCTTAGTAGCAAATTCACTTTGTAAGTTAAGCGGAGCCTGTTTTGTCAAAGTGTTTCCTTCTTGTTCCTTATCTCAACTCATGAACCCTTTTGCTAATTTTTTTTCCCTTCRCTCTTCTCTGCCCAGTGGTGCTGGGGAAGGGCAAGTGAGCAGGTGTTGTGAGTGCCTGGCTTTCGGCCAGCATTCTAAACCACAATCACAGGTTAGGAGGGGCTAGAAATAAAGGGTGGAATCCAGTGAAATACTTGCTAAAATTCCTACTGGCTTGAGAAGAAACAAGGTTTTTCTCAAGAACAGCTCTCAATCATATTGTGCCAAGTACATGCTTCCTAGTTTTCTAGACACTGAGTTTCAACAAYATTCCTCCTGAACTTCAAAATGGGGYAAAAATAATCAAAARMTAGAYTTMTGTGTCACTAYAGTATGGTATGATAAGAATAAAARAAGTTTAAGCTTGATTTCTATTTTTCTGCAGAAAACCTTAAAATTTGTAATATAAAAACTAAGTTAGGTTTCCAAGATTTAATTACCAAGTAACTCTTTACAGGATTGATTTAAGGCATCCATCTTTTTTTTTGTTTGTTTTTAATGTGATTTAATCTTGTCCCTATTCTCTAATTTCTTGCTATATTTATGACATGATTCCTTGAAAAGAAAATACTGACTATCTAGAAGAGAGTTTGTGCTGCAATTAGGGTCTAAATATATATTTACCTCTGTGTCCTGTTATGGTACAAAATGTTCATTTCAAATGCTTTAGCTCTCAGAGCAATCTTATATCCAATGCGGCCCATACCAATGATCCCCAGAGTAGCTCCAGCAATTTTAACTCCCAGAATATCAGCTTCACAGTACTCCATACTTGGAGAWATTGAAATGTTATGGACTGCAAGAAAAACACATAAATGTTAGAAATGAATGGGGTCCAACATGGAGGAACAAGGAAAGAGTCTGTACTCGTAGCGCTACTATAGCACACTTCTAATGTTTACAAACGCATATCCTAATATCCTAGGCTAGTCCCTAATGCATCATCTGTCCCTGCTACATATATATATATGATATTCCCATTTATACTCATCATACTACAAAGGGCCTTTTAATGTAATCTTTCAAAAAATCTTTTTACTGGTTTAGACTCATGAAAATATTGCCCTCTTGCTTGTCAACAAACAAAATAATTATTGCCAATAACAATGCAGGGTTTGGAAACGTCACGTGCAGAATAACACCAGATATTGGRTTTCCTCTTCAATCTGCCACTCTCCTTGGAAAGAAAAGTATGACTTCTTTAAAAATCACAAATTGGCAATTTCCATAATTATCTGTTAAAGCTGCACAATTCTGTATAATWCTACAGTACATAATTAATACATAAAATATACTTATATACACAGAGTCAGCACTGCTGGCAAGGTGACAGACTTCTGATATTTCAGTCTTCTGATACTGCCAGCTTTTCTAAAACACAAGAAGAATTTCGTGAAAGGATAAAAAAATGTCTCAAGAAAAAAATCAGTCATGCCAGGACAGAGCTATCAGAAACGTCACCCAGGGATAGTTTATGTAAATGGGAACAAGAAATTACACCCTCTTTTAATGTCTCCTTTTTGTTAGGTAGAAACAGAGAGACACAAGYCCTGTTTGAGTTTCTATGAATCCTGTGGTACATATGGCATGTCAAAGTCAGGTAAAYATAATAGGATAAATCTGAAGGATTTTTTCCTGAAGGAGGAGACATTCTAACCAAGCCAAAGTCAATTTGGCAAAAGAGCAAGAAAAAATTGTTGAAGAAACTAGAAAGGTGCTATTAACAAAAACTGGAACAGGCTGCTTTATTACTCTCTAATGGCCCTTAAAAGCTCCAATTCTGCCCCAATCCATTTTGTCTCCAAGAATATGCCCATGCCTCAATTAGCCTTGTGGATCCCTTCCAACTCARGATCTTCCATGATTCTATATACCCTTGTTCTGCCCCACTGTTGTCTCCCACACTAATTTCTTCTACTAGCCTGTGACTGCAGTAATCAAGTGATCTTTGGCATCCCCTGATTTTGGTCACAGTACTGTAATGCCATCCCATTTTATTTATACTTRGTTGAAATACATGTTATGTATGTCTGTGTATAATGCAATAATTTAAGTATACTTATTATACCTAAAATATATCAAAACACCTATTATTCTATTTGCCAAGCCAACATATTTAGATTTTCACATTATATGTAAAACTGTGTCCACTACAGGTAACTCTAAGAAAAGTCRAATTAATGGCAGGTAACTCTTATATGATTTTTAGAAGCTGCAAAAGAATTGAGATGTTACCTTCCACYAGTCTTCTAGCAGATGCTAGCATCAAAGCCATCCCAGCATCTGCTGTGCTGGTGGAGACAGCCCGTGGAGCATTAGCCATCTTCACACCAAAGCTAGCTATAAGCTTCAAATCCAGGTGATCCATCCCCACTCCCGAATTCGCAATCACTTTCAAGTTTGGCAGGCTCTGGAGGAGCTCTTTGTCGAYGGCTGGTTTGTGCCACCACAAATAGATCGCTTGGATCTTTTGACCAACATTCTTTCTGTTTTCAAGAAATTCTTTCATGGTGATGAGTTGGAAATGTTTCTTCAGGAATGGCACATGGCTATGYAGTATTCCATTTATGCCACCAATATCATTTACCAAAAGCCAAGGTAGTTCTCCTTCCATGATCTGCACAAAGAAGTAAGGCACAAAGTGTCAGAAGAAAGACATACTGTTATTTCCAGACATTTTAAAGAATAAACACTGTCATGTCCTATTTCATGATATTTAGGAGAAGAGATCCTGTAAATCATAGGAAGGTAAGCAAACCAAGACAAGCAAGCAGCTCTTTTAAACACACTTCCAATTACACTTATAAACACAGATGTCCACACACACATACAGAGATATTTACATAATCAGTCTGAAAAAGTTCTGTCCTTCGTGATCTGTAGCATTTCATATTACTGCCACCATGATCAAAATACAACACTTACATGTCATCAATTACTTTTCTTTCAGATCATGAATAGTCTKCAGTAAACAGTGCAATAAATCTCCTTCGCCACCCTGAAATCACAAATTAACCTGCCTAAGCAGTTTAGAAAAATGTTTGACCAAAYCTACTTTATCAAAATAAATTGCACAGCTTCATCATGAACTTTGAGTTACCAGGTTAATTTTTAAACGCTTCACTGCAGAGATTTTATAGCCTCCTGTCCTGAAGATACCCCAGTGACTGCAGAGCTTTCTCCTGAGCCTACGGGGGTGCAGGGAGTGTATGACCTTCACAGAGTAGTCATAGCACAGAGTCGGACATCTGGGCTCTCATGACCTTTATTTCGTCCTCCCCTTGCTACCCGGCAGCACCGATCCCCAGGCACGGCTCCCCATCCCACATGCGAGGGGTGACAGCGGTGGCCCCGGCCGGCGGCACCAGGTGCCCGCCCCGTTTGTTCGCACCCGCGTTTCCCGTTCGGCGAGGCGCTCTCCCGCCGGGACCCGGGAAYGTCCCGAACTCCCGCCCCGCGCCCTGCCGGAAGCGCGTGTCCCTGCGCGCGCATGCGCGTGCCCGCCCTTCCGCTTCCCGCCCGTCCGCCGCCGCCGCGCGTCTCTGAGGGAAGGAGAGCTGCAGGGTGCGCTGGGGACGGGCCGGCCGGGGGAGGCTCGGGGCTGGAGCCCGGTGCCCGCCGGCRTTCCGGGAGGGCTCGGGGAGGGGGCGGGCGGGGTGCGGTGTCAGCTCCAGCGGCATCCCTGTCGCCCCGCAGGCTCGCCAGCCGCCCGCCAGGATGTCGTACATGCTCCCGCACTTACACAATGGATGGCAGGTGGACCAGGCCATCCTGTCGGAGGAGGACCGGGTCGTGGTCATCCGCTTCGGGCACGACTGGGACCCGACGTGCATGAAGATGGATGAGGTCCTGTACAGCATCGCCGAGAAGGTAAACAGGAACTTTTCGCTCACTGTGCGCTCAGTGTTGCCCGGTGCAGGGTACCACTCGGGTTCTGGAGATGTATTCCAGCTTTACGAGGCAGCGGGAAAGCTGCGTGGTTTGCTTTCACCGCTGTCTCCTAAAGTCACCGACTGCCCTGATGGTTGCAGTATTCTGGGGGTGAAAAGAGCATCGCAGGGGTTCAGAAGTCGAGGTTGCTGCCTGTTAATAACCCATCACTGAATGAACATCGACATGCAGGCAGAAACAATGCTTGGTGGTAGGGCTATTGCAGCCCCAGGTAATGCAGCCCTCTCACTTTACAACGGAAATGTGTAGTACCCTCGGGTTTCCATCTGAATAACTCGTAAAGTTATTTACATTTTGGCTCTTTAAAAGTGTGAGTCGCTAAAATGTGCGGGATGGTGTTGATTAATTTGTCGTTATTATTGTGATTTATCAGTGATATTAATCTCGTTAATCTGTTAATGATGTTATCCGTGAGACCAGTAGCGTTCCACTGAGTTACATGGACTGAATTAAATTTTAAAAGMCAAACTTTAAAGCTGTTTTCAGATGGAAACTGAGTGATTACCAACAKCTTGCTTAAGAAAGATACATATGGAAGAAAAATTAGACTGTTAAAATACACTATCAGCTATAATTTACCTTTTCATATATTTGCTAAAGGTTTTGTGTAGTGAGAGATGTAGGATACTGACAGCTCTTCAGCTGAACCCCATGAAGCAAGAGRCAAAAACAGCTGGATCAGAAATGGTAACTTGAATAGGAAAAGGTGCCAGCTGTCACAGAAATCACGGAATGGTTTGGGTTGGAAGGGACCTTARAGATTATCTCATTCYAACTCTCTTGTGCTGTGTGTTTCACGAGACCAGATTGTTCAGGGCCCCATCAACTTGGCCTTGAACTCTGCCAGGGATGGGGCATCCACAAATTTGCTGCCTTCATATAAAATTCTGTGCATGCTACATAGCTTGACRTGGAATTGTTTTTGTGGTGTAGTCCTTTGTCTTCTAAAGTTTTTTTAAATTAACTTGTGTCTTGAAAATCCCCACAATGAAAGATCTATACCCAAAGCCAAGYGTTAAGACGTATTAGAGTGCAGTAAGGACTTGTGATATGTTTTAATTCAGTCATTTTGTGTTCAACCTGGTGTGTGTCTTCTGCTCAGATTATGTTAGTGTGGACTTGTGRCAGGATGCTTGCAATTGGGCAGGCCTGCTGGCAGCTAGGGGTGATTGGGGAAAGAAAGAACAAAGTAACTTCTTATTTAAAAATCTCCCTCTGCAGAAATGGCAAATTAAAGGGGGAGATCCTACCTCATCCTCTTGCTTACAAGCCATGTTTGGATCTCTGCTGTTTTAAAGAGTGAGTAAAAGTTCCAATTGTACAGGTGTTTTTACTAGAGAATGACAMAGAATGTTAACATGCTGTAATTGTAGGTTACATTTGAAAATAATGAGACCATATTTTACATTTGTTACCATGGTGGAATATTCTTTTAGACCGCAGCATGTTTTTGGGTAGCAGAAATATTAATCTGTACTTTATGATAGGAAAGCAGAGGTTTTTTCGTTTGAATCCTTTCAGGGAAAAAGAAACTAGAATGCTGTATGAAATTACAAACTAGATTATTTTCAGTGAAATGTACTCCACTTGCAGTTGACTGGGTTTTTTACCCCAGTGTTTCATGAAAAACAAGTAAGGTTTCACTGAATGTCAAAACAAATCATGACTGTAGGATGTTAGATTTTTTCCTTTGTCAGGGTTTCAATCAAACATTGAATTAAAACAAGAATTGAGTTTCACAAATTTCGTCTTAAATACGTTTTTTAGAAATATATTTTTTTCTTATGTTTGAAGGAAACTTATAAAAACCTATGCCCTGAAATACAGGGATTGGTTTGCTAAAATAATGATTTGTTTAAGAAATGGTTTCTCTACAAGTAAATTTCTCTATAAAGYAAAACCGAATAAAGTAAATTAGGTAACTGTTGTATTGGATCAGTGTGGGTTTAGGGGGTATTGTTCATATGTTGTGCATTTATTCAACCATAATCAGAAGTGTGAATAGCTGTGGCTTTTCTTCACACATTGGTAGTGCTTCTGCATTTCTGCTAAGATTACATGAAAAGTGAGAGAGGAAAAGAAGGTGGGGCAGGGAAAGAGGTAGCTATAAAAAAAAAGCATATGGGTATTTTAGCTACTGGTGTTTGTAATTAAAAATTGAGCAAAGTTAATCCATTTACTGATGTCTGTAGGTTTCAAAATTATTAGCTTTAAGTGTTGCTGCAGTATAATGTCTTTCTCTTTTCCCAGAAATTTATCACCCAAACTTACAGCATGTCTAGAAAAAAAAAAAATACATATTGCCAGTCCAGACTTTCAAGGTTGTACTTGGTCTGTTAAGCTCAGTAATGCAAGTCTGCCAGCCACCTTCAACTTGAGTGATTTTTTGCAAAAGCTGGTTTCAGTTCCTGTATTTTTTTCCTGTGAGTCTTCTTGTCCAGAAAAAAAAAAAACATTGTCTAGAAACTGGTTAGGAAGATGAGAAGATGTTTCCTACATCTGTTTCCACACACAAAGCTTGTGATCTTCATGGAGATAGGATATAGAATCTTTATATGATGTTGAAATTCCTATAGATTCCTCTGCTTTATAGTCTTGAGCCAGTCAGTTTAAAGATTTCAGAGTCCACAGGGAGATGCAGTTTTGTGAAGTATTAAAATAGCCTGTAACTATGGCCAGGTAGTAATGCACTTCTGGGTTTTCTGCATGTGTGTTCAGCAGCGTAGACTGATTAGACTGATTTATGAAGCTAACATCCTTGGGGAGAAGGGGGAAACAACCAACAAAATTGAAGCCCAACCTRTGAGAGCAAGTAATGAAATTTGGAATCCATACTGCTGTTTGACCTCAGTTTCCTACTCTACCATTCCCCATGAACAGCAGTTCCAAAGGCCTGGTAAGGCAGAGAAAGTTTTGAATTGAAAGACAGATAAAGGAAGTCAGGAGCGTCAGAAATAGTTAATATCCGTTTCTGAAAATGCTTTTATGTTCAGTTTTTGCACAAGTGAGGTGCTGTCCAAAAGGAGGTCTCTCACTAGAGTTTTGATTTTATKTTTCTTCAGAAAGCAGTTAACTTACTGCAATAAATTAACTGTATTTAGTGTATGTTATGAGGTTAAGCACTTTCAGAATAAACTTGTGTTATTATGTGTTTGACTTCCAAAATACCACAAGGGTTTTTTCTTCCTACTTACTAATTCTTTTCATTTTACTGTCTCTCCAGTAATATTTTGGTTTATATTAACAACCTCAGTATAGTCTCCCTTGTTGCAACTGCTTGTATTCAGTGTGCTTTACTTGCTCAGAGTTTTATTTTATTCTTGAGGTCTCCATACTGTTTTCTCAATTATACCTCACAAGTCAGGGAGAAAACTTGTTAGCAACCACTGCCTTGACAGGATAGCAAAGCTTGTTTTGTACAGGAATGTGGGTTTTGAACCGACAGCTGTGTCTGAGCAATTGATTCATATCCCAACAGGGGGAGCTCAACCTTAGGTTTGTCTCCACAAAACATGCGCATCCATGCAGTCTGGATCATAAATACTCCAATTCCTTTTGTGTAAATCAAAGCCTAAGCTAAAGCTTTTTGAATTGGAGCTGGCTCAGATGCTGCTCTGTACTGCTGCTGTCTTGGTTCCAATATTGTGTCTGAGACAGGAACTGCTGCTTCAGGCTGTAAGATGGGTCAATACTGTGCAAAAAGAGACATTTGAGTGATTCTGCAGGGCTTGTCTCGTGTTGAAATAAAATGTCTCTTGGTGACAAGCTTGCCCAGCCTGGCACAGCCCCTAAACATTAAATAGGCCACTGCAGTTCTGCTGCATCACCCTCTCCATGTGTTTATCTAGTCCATCCTTAGGCTTGAATCCCAACCTCCTGCTGCTATCCTTGGCAGCCAGCGTGCAAACTCAACAAAGCATACCCTCATTCAGTGTGCTTGCAGGCTAACTCATTTTGGAGTGGTGATCTTGCCAGATTTGAAATAGGAAAGCGAGGGGTAGAGAATAGATCCACTTTTAAAGTTTTGAATTCAAATTTGAGCCTTGAGGTCTGCTTTAGATTTTACGTGATCTTTTTAGCAGGTGATTGTCATCAGTTTCACTTCTATAAAAGTAGGTCGGAAAGAAAGAAGATTTAATTAATGTCTTGGGTACTTGGATTATAGTGAGGACTTGCACATATGCTGTGCAAAGGTGATTTGAGTGACCCAGTCCTTTTTAGTAAGATTTATATAACAAATTAAGATTTATATAGTCTGTTTCTCTGGTATGAAATCCTAGGCTGTTGATGATCACTGCTAGTGACAAGCATTTCTGGTTCTGCAACAGCTCAAGTAAATAATATAATGTCAAACTAACTTTAAAAGGTTTTTTGTTCCAGTACTATCTGGAGAACAGAGTTCTTGGAAGTAAAATTTTGGTTTAGAAGTGCTTTTGTAATGGCATTCTGGTGCAACATGTAAATCTCCTTGGACTAGTCTTTCACCAAACAAAGCAGGTCCCAAGAATGTTTTATTAATGCTAGGTTTACATTAAAACAATTTTCCAAGCTCCAAATCAAGTAACTGTTTAAAGATTGTGTCCTCTGTCAAAGTTGCTGAATGTGTTGTAGAAATTTCCCCACATGGTRAAGGTGTGCTGATGATGCTAGAAATACCAGCAGGGTGGAAGAAGTAATAATAGGCTAAAATGCAAATAGCTCTTTATGTATTTTGTTTTCTAAAAAAAAGTACCAAAACCCCCATAACTGTCTTTTGCCTGCCAGGGTTCACCATGGAGTAACTTCAGTCACTTCTTGGCTAAATTGTGTTGACTCTGAGCATCCCATTACGCTTCTTAAAAGTCCTAAATATAAAATTGAAATGGGTGTGAAGGATCCCTTCAGAGAGTTTGATATTATGACTAATTTGAGTTTACAAGGCTTTGCCTCTTGCCTGATTTAGAGCAGAGCTTAAATGGGATGTTTTCATTAGATTATTGACTGAATGTAGGACTATAACTGGCTCCATAAAAGCACAGTAAAAACTTCAAATGCTGTTTTGCTCCAGAAGAGATTTTACTTTCTTCACTAGTAATACTTACTCACATCCTTTTAGTGTGATTATTTTTTATAGTTTTGAAAATGTCTTGAAGCAGAAGTCCATAAAAATTGTTTTACTCTGCTCTTCTGGTTTTTTTTTTTTTAAACAAAGATCTCCATGCTTTCTTCAGTTAAAGTACTTGCTAGGATATCTAAGTACAGGATACAGACTATATCATATTTTTCTCATACAAACTGATCCTGCTCTGTGAATTAAAATAAAAAATTGTTCCACCAGGCAGATATTTTGCTCATCATAGCACTTCCTGACTTTTGATAGCAAAATTAACAAGTGGAAAGTACTGTCATGAACAGTAAGTTTGCYGTAGATCTTAGACCATGTGCGTTAACCTCAGGCTGGTATTTCAGGGCAGTCAAATTTGAGAGACCAAGACTATGTTAATGTGTATCTAAGGATGGGAAAGCACAATTGTGCACTCAGGGTGTAGTGCATGAGCATTTGCTAATATATCTTACTTAAAGGTTTGTGCAAGTTGAGTGACAGTACTTAGTGTGCATGAGTGTTTTACCTTCTACTGTGCATATATGAGCTACGTTTAGAAACCAAAACTTCCCCTGATTCCACTYAAGGACAAGTATGCCACATCTAGGAAAAAAATATGTGACACAGTTTTCTTGGAAAAATAAAAGCATTAGCTATGACACTGGAGGGGACAAATTCTTGCGCATCTATCTAACTAACTCTGCAGAATGAAAGTTTTACCCAAATTGTCCAGAGAAYAGCTTCTCATCAAAATCTTATTTCGTCAACAATTACACAGTTAAGTTTTAGATTTGCACCTCTCAAAAAAAGCTACCAGTTTTTAAATTGACTTAAAAGCTTCATTTTCATTTAATAAATCTTGTTAGACAAATTGAGTGTTAGAGAGGGGGAAAAGTACTAGACACGAGGGCATTGTAGATCATTAATTTTCTGAAGTCAATGAGCAGCTGATGAGAGAGGCAAAATGTGTCATCTTCACTTGCACAAAGCAGTTATTCTACTTGTTTAGAGCTGTGCATGTCACTGTGAATTCTCAGTTCTGTATAAAGGGCAATTGTTTCTCTGGATGTTGATTGAGCGTAGTATCCCGCTGATATTGGATGTGAAATGAGCTTCTTCACTATATTTAAAAATATTTTCCATGTTAATTGGTTGTTGTGGTTAAAAACAAAAGTAAGGCTGTTTACTGTGATTTTATGTCTTAATAATTTGGAAAATAAAAGTTAAAATAATGAAAGCTTATGTCTTTTAATTGGTAATATGTATTGCGTTTGTATTTCCTGTTTTCTTCTGTTCAGGTTAAAAACTTTGCTGTTATTTATCTTGTGGACATCACTGAAGTACCAGACTTCAACAAGATGTACGAGTTGTACGATCCCTGTACCGTCATGTTTTTCTTCAGGTACGTGAAGGTTCTCGAATGCAACTCMTTTAAACTTTCTGTTTGTCAGATACAGCATCACAGCAGATCATTTCCAAATGYGTAGTAGCACACTGATGCCTATGTTTTCATTGCTCTATAAAAGAGTAAACTGATTAAATAGGAAAATGGCTTGTTTTCCAATTAGCCCAGTAACAGTGATAGTGAAAACTGGGTTTATTATCCATTGTTCTTAGTTTTAAATCTCAAACTCCCTGTAGAGAATACTGTATTAATGCAGCACTCAAGGTTGTCAAACTTGCTTTAAAGATAAATGAAAATTAAGGGKTTTTTTTAATTAAGGTTTCTACGTTGATGAGATCAAACCTTCTACTGCCATTCATGGAAGTSTCTCTGGAGACAGTAGTGGGAAAGAAATGCAAACAATGAGGAATATGCTGAAGGATAATTGCACTGAGCAGCCGTCTTGGAGACATGTTTGGAATCCTTATTCTTGCTTTAAAAATTGGCAGTAAAATGTCAGCGTGAGTGAGAGGAGTGGATACTCCTCTCTTGATGCTTGTTTTGCAAGCCTGTTTATGTTATAAGGACTTCTTTTGATCCTACAAAGCACTTTTGGGGAAAAGGAAGTTTCTTTCTGAATTATAGTACCATATTAACTTCTTTTTTTGTTCTTTGTCTTTAAAGGAACAAACACATCATGATTGATTTAGGTACAGGTAATAACAACAAGATCAACTGGGCAATGGAAGATAAACAGGAGATGATTGACATTATAGAAACTGTTTATAGAGGAGCCCGCAAAGGTCGAGGTTTGGTGGTATCACCGAAAGATTATTCCACTAAATACAGATACTGATGTTTCTTTGGGCTGCCTTTTTTCCTAACCCTGTGTTCACTTAAATTTATTTCTGTGTGTGTACATATATGTATATTAAAAGAAAAAAAAAAAAAAAACAACCTATAAATCCTTGAATTTTGAGCCTATTTTGAATTATTTAAAATATTTGAATTCCATTTGAAAAGTAGAAGACTCAAAGCCCGGAACTGTCTTGTACTATTTTATCTGAATTTTGATGTTTTGTTTTTTACAGACTTTATCCTTTGTTGTCCTTTTGGTATTATGTATTTTTGTACACAGCCTGTTTGCAGAAAAACATTTCAACTGGTTTGGTTTGCTTTTGTTACACAAATATGTGGGAAAACTATACTATAGCGTTTTTAAAAGAATAAAGTGAGTTCCACTTATTCACCTTAATTTTTTTCATCTAATTAAATTTCAGTATGAAAACAGGTGTAATTGCATTCAAATCCATAATGTTGAAGGTGAAAACTTAATACTTTTGTGAGGATTCTTTGTGTATCATATTAAGTCTCCACTAAAAATGTGAATAAAACAAGGTGCATTTATTATTTATATTAATATAATAAGTATTATACATAATATATATTATAATAAATACTACTTATTAATATTTAGCAAAGCTCACAGAAAACATCTCCCATCACTTTGCTCACCACCACACCTCCATCAGCTTAATGGACTTGTGATGCCAGACTCCTTTTCCGTGTGGTAGTGCGCTCAGGAGGCACTTTGAAGCACTTGGTGGATTTTGCAGTGCCAAAGCATATTTGCATTCTGGGGCTGGCTGCAGTCAGCAGCCGAAGAAACTGCAAGCCGTACTGTCACTTGACCTCCAGATTGTCTCATGGTATATCAAAATGTCTCGCAGGAGACTTGGGAGACTTGGATTGGATTCCACTGTGGCATAGCTTTTGAAATTTCCATTTGCATTTCTCACAACTTTTATGGTAACTGAGTTGGTGTGTGTGTACGGGGGTTTGATTTTTAAAAGGATACATGCAAATTTACAGGATTAATTAAAACCTAGCCAGGCTAGCTCCTTTCTCCAGAAAGATGAAATCCAGTTTGTCACAAGACTAAGAATATACTTCCAAGTTTGTTTTAGAGGATTTGGAAAGCATCGAGGAAGTAAAACAAAAGGCTCTCAATTTCTGCTGAAGTTGATCTGGTTGACAGTGGTTATCAATTTTGGAATAGTTTTTGTTGGAAGGGACCACCAGCCTCCCAGTCATAGTAGGTGGCACATGGTCAGGTTGCCCAGGATTGTGTCCAGTGTAGAGTTACTTGGTTGGACTAGATCATCTTCACGGTGTCTTCCAACCTTGATGATTCTGCGTTCTCTAAGGATGGAGATTCCTCAGCCTTTYTGAAACTCCTGTTACCTGTTTGAGCACCTGCACAGTTGGGAAAGGTGTTCCTGGCATCTAGCTGAAATTTTCTGTTTCAGCTTGTAATTCAGTTTCAGTAATTGTGTACAACACCTTCAATCAGTGTGTGTTCCATGGGCTAGTGGCTGGCAGCAAGAAGCCTTTTAAGGCTGAACATCGTCTTAAGGGTGAACTAACAATCCCCCACAAACCCTTTTATCCCCCGTACTCCACTATATTTTGGTGGCTCTGTTTTATCTCTGTCACACCACTGCATCTCTTGAAATGCGAAGCTCCCAAATTACTACAGTATTGTGGGTGTGGTGTCCCAGCAGGGTGAACGGAGGGGAATGACTTGCTGGCCTACTTGTGCCAATGCTGCCCAGTGAGTTGCTTGCAAGTCTACACTGGCATAGACTTGATTTCTTGATATTAATGAAGGCTGGAATAGAAGCATTTATTTCTCCCTCATTAGCTGAGGTATTCTGTTTACCTGGCAATGCTTCAGTTTCTGCATTTATGATAAGAGGTTCCCATTAGATTTCAAACTAAACCTTTCCTGTAAAAAGTGCCAATGTTTTGTACAACCACCTTAAAGTTAGTGCAGATGTCCAGTTTTCTGACTACCAATTTCTTCTTTGGGACACGTTTGGTAACTAGAATTCCTCATYTATCTCCAGGTCTTTAAAATAAACACCTTTCATCAAAACAGCTAACACTGAAGAACTGAAATTGTTACAATAKAAATACCTGGGTGATGTTATCACTYTGGTGTGTATAGCTTTGGGTGGCGTTGTGAAAAGATCAACAATAGAGCAGTTGCAGTCTGAAAATACTGCAATATTTTTTAGTACAGAATGGTTTGGTTCATGTTATTTGACATCTGATGTTTTGCAAGGCACCTTTGTAGTATCATCAAAAAGGTGCATTTTGTGATGTAAAACATTTCAAGAACTAACAAAATGGCACAAACAAAAGTTTTGTCATAGAAGGATCTTGTTATTGTAAGAACATTCAAGCTAAAAAGGCAACGTATCTTACTGTTTTAATATTAAATACATTTTCATACATTGAAAAAATCTGTGATTGGGTAAGTTCGCCATACAGGATATTGTTTTCTTCCCAAAATAGTGGCTTTACCTTCTCTGAAGCTAACAGGTCTTTCTCAGCTTTGGGAAACAGTTCCCCACTTAAATGAATAAACCCAGCTTTCTACTTTTCTCCTGGGGCAACAGTTTAAAAKTTTTTTTCAAGACTCTGTCATGACATGATGCAAACATGTTTGTTTTCCCTTAACATTTTTTGTCAATGTGACACTTGATCAGAGTCAGTGCAGTGTTCTGCCTTTAATCTTTCTTGAACACCTTATTTTAGTGCTGCAAAGATACAGTGAATAAGTAGGTTAGTGATTTATTAATGAATGTAATTCAGCATAGAGATAGGAAGATCTCTGTACCGTTAAAAACATCTTTGTGGATTGTCTTTCTGTATTTCTGAGAACTACTGCATAGCTTATGCAAAAATCATCAGAATGAATAGATAGCTAAATTAGTTCAGAATATTTACAGACACTCCTGTCTTTCACTGGTTAAGGAGTTTCAGTGACAATAGTTGATATGTCTCCATTTGAATCAAGAAAGTGTCAACAACAGGATGACAACATCACTTGCATCCACAGAACACGGAAGCAGTGCTGCCTCTAAATACTAAGAACGTGGAGTCAGCCATCCAGGGAAGGGTGTGGCATTTGAAACAGACTGATAAAAAATCCAGCAYACAATCCTGAAATGCAGTGTGTTTTTATATTATAAAGTGATTGATTATAATTTCGTGCTGTGATTGGGGTGAGTGCATGTGAGAGGTGTGCTCTGAGTCACACTGGGAAGCTGTAGCAGGTTTAAAAGCCGATGTACATAAATTTATAGCAATGAGGATCCTCAGCTAGGTCAGCATACCTGAGGGACAGGAATGGTGGGCAGAAGCACTTTAAGCCACACGCATTTCATTAGGAATGGTGGAATGTGCCTCAGTTTACATACTTGGGATGAGTTAGCACTGCCCTTTGTATATGGCACTCAACTGGAACAGAGGCAGCAAGATACAGGTTTTCTTTTGTAAAAGTGGTCACATTCTTTGGTTCTTGGCAAAAAACAAATCCTAGGTAATTTTAAATAACACTTTCACATCCAAGAAAATGCAGGGACAATAAGTATGTAAACACCATTTTAATGCAAGTTGCTGCCCATCACTCAAAACTAAATGGAAATACAWAAAATACATCAAAACTTAAGTAATGGTCTTTACTCTCAACTCTTCATYGCTATTTTCTACCCCAGCCTCTGTCATCAGGTCAGCAACACGTTTCTCAAGGTCACTGATGCGCTCGCCCATTTCTTCCAGTAAAAAGTTAAAGATAACTTACTTATAAATAAGAATGCTATAATTTTACTGGTTTTCTGTAACAAGAAGCAGATTTTCCCCACACATTCACATTTAATGCAAKATGAAGCATGCACAAGGTGGTACTGTTAGAACACAATCGCACATTCCCTTGTGACAGCTAAAAGTATCAAAAGCCTTTACGAACACCCATGAGTGAACTGCAGTATTTTATGTCTAAGACAATGTTTTTTTTCTGAGGACCTRTTTTAGGTGATACCATATAGTTAACCTACACAACCAGAATATGAGTGCCACTAAAGCATTATTTAGGAAGCAGCTGTTTCTTGAAAGGTCAAGTTTCTGAAAAAATGGAAAATGCAATAATGCTTCAGAAAGCAGATGTAGTTTCTCTAAGTACATGAAAGGAAGTGCAAGAAAGCTCAGACCCCCTTCAGGTCTTATCTTCTCTTTTTGAGGGCTCACCCTGTCATACTCAGGAAGCCAAGAGCTGCTTTTAAACCAGAAAYAGTGGCGGATTTGAGCTGCATTTTTGAAGACGGATGCTTTTTTAAATGCACCTTCAGAATCTTTACAAATAATTTGATGCTTATTTTACTTGAAAGCCAGAATTGCTGSACACAAACTACCTTGCTACGTGCACTAAAACATTTTTTAGGATTTTCTTTTTAGAAAAAAGGATATAAAACCAAGGTAGCTGGGGAAGGGGGGGAAGTCAGGTGTCCTTACATCGTGAGTGTTTAGCCACGTCACTCGTCATACGCTAATTGGATGTTTAAGAAAGAAGCCCATCCCGCTGTTAGAAGGAAAGACCCCGCCCGCACCCATCAGCGCGCAGGGGGCCTCAACCGCGCGATCCGCAATCTCTGCGGCGGGGCGGCCACCCCGCGTTCCCAAGAGGATATTGCTCAGCGTTAACTTTTCCGTCAGAGCCTGAAAATTCTCCTGCAGCCGGCAGAGCAGATTCTCCGCCTGTGGGGGAGAAATAAAGCCAGTGGAAGCAGAAGGCAGGCACCCCTCCCGCAGCCGAGGCTCCCAGCCCGGTCCCACTCCCCGCCCCGGAGCCGGCCCCGCTCACCAGCTGCGGCAGCTCCACGGCTCCCGGCGGCTCGGCGGCCGCCATCGGCTCCGGCTGCGGCTCCAGCCCCGACCCTCCCCCCGCCTCCCCGGGCGCGGCGGGGCGGGCAGCGAGCGCACGGCCCCGCCCGCAGCGGCGGGCGGTGGGAGAGGCCCCGCAGCGCTACGGAGAGTCCTTAAATATCAAGTCTTTAGTAATTCTGTACGGCAGTAACTAAATACGGATGTCGAGGTTTGATCTCCAGAGGTCTTACTATTTTTTTTTCTCTAAGGTTTATTTTCTATTCCCCGTGTAATTAGTTTCGTGGGATGGAGTGGTAAAAATACAGTGGCGGTTGAAGTTCTTTGCACTGTAGTGTCGAGCGAGACAACACCAAAGGCGTCAGCAAGAATCGCGYGGTGCCTCTTGCAGCCTTACCAGGATGTAGGTCTTCCCTGGCTTTTGGGCTGCACAGCATAAAAAGCTCCTGGTGCAGCTATTACAGAGGTGTCTTCTTGTTTGTGCAGATGCCCTGGATGCTGGACTGTTGCCTGATGTAAATAAAGAGGTTTTTCAGTTAACCGTGTCTGTGTGGTTGGGAGCATATCACAGTTGGGCAATAAATTAATTTAGTCAATTACTTTATAGATAGGCCAAACATGTGCCTTCATCCACAAGAAATGTCTGAGTTAGGAATGACTTCAGTTGCTGTACTACCACTTAAAATCTTTCTTAATAAACTYAATTGTTTTCCTTCTTGACCTTCCCCACCTCATTTGGGAGGGTGTGCTAATCTCTGAGATGAAATTCTGGCATCAAAGCCAACCTCCCGCATTGCTGCTTGCTTCCCATAATTGTAGCTTCTCTGTACAACCTCATCTTCCCACTCTTGCAGAAGTTGTAGACAGAAAAATCAAGTTTTGCAAAGCTTGAGTGCTCTAGCACTGTTACTGCTCTTGAAAGCTTCTTGATAAAACAACCTGAACAATATTATGCATGCRGATAGGCTTTACTTTTGTATGTAGCCATTAGCTGCAACCACATACCTTTTTTGTTCTGTTGCCTAAGTAATAAGGAACAATTGGTGCTTCTTACCTGTTTATTTGTTAATAATAAATCTTCTTTCCCTCAGGGCTAGGTAGTAGAGCTGTACTATTTTTGCATTTTTACTTCTGATAACAGCCATAGTCTTCCTGATTTTCCCTCCTTCCAGAAGAGCTATAAAAGCTTCCCTCTCACACAGCAGTATTTTCCCCCAGAGGCAGTTGAAATGGCTCTGTCTGCTAACAAAGCCACAAAGTCCTGTTKGTAGTGAAGAGCTTGCAAGTATAAAGAACCAGCTGGAAATACAGAGGAGCAAGCATTATGCAGCCAAACAATTTGCAGGAATTCCATTACACCCTTGTAGTGCCACATTTTAGCAATGGCCAGGTTAGAGTTCAACTGAAAACAAGCATGACTTGATAATGGCTTTCTGTAATTAGCTCCTCATTTTTGTGAGGTAGGTCAGTGTGGTCAGAACAAAAAAATATACTATCCAGCTGGCACAGCAGTGAAGGACAGGTAATTAGAAGTGTGAAAGAGACTGAAGGAACTACTTCACCAYGCATCTCCCCCTTCAATGGTCTGGTTCTTTTACTCTGTGGGCTTTGTAGCTGATGTGAATGGCCATCTTAGGTCAGATCTGGAGCTGAATTAGGCCAATAATGCACAGCTGGGTTTATGAAATAAAAATGGAAKTGTCTTTAAAGCTAAAAGTGGTCATGGAAAAGTTCCAAAGTTTAGAAAGCCTAAGAATAGAARAGACAAATGGCAAGACTAAAGAGACTTTGCTTAACAATGAATTTACTTACAATAAAATCAGCGTGCTTGGGTTTCCTCTGCTGTCCTCTCCATTCTCAGAGGGCTTAGAAGTTTAGAGCTGAGCTGTTGCATACATTTCCAGGGTCTGAAATCTGGGGATGTAAGATGAACCATATTTTAAAAGTATAGTCTGTGTTGGGCATGCAAAGACCTTTTTGTTTTTTTTTTGTTCCAAAAACAAAGGTTTARCTGAGAACCATTAAACCACCAGTGCTCATAAGAGCATTTACTGCAATAAGAATGCTTAACTTGCTAAAAGGACAACAAGATCAGTTCGGCAATGAGTACATAAACAGGTCCTGAGGGGGTTTGAGAAACATGCAAAAGAGAAGATTTGACAACATTAATTCTTTTCCCATGCCATAATATGCTCTGTGCTACTTTCTTGCTGTAAAAAGCTTAGACTTTAGTCAGTTTCAGTCTAAATATGTCTTCTTGATATAAAAACATGAARTAAAAATAAAAAATAGGGTGACCTTGAAGCTGGGGTGCCATCTGCTTCCATCCTATTTCAGTATTGCAGACTTGTGCTGTGAATCACAGTGTGCRCTGAAATGGTATATCCAAAGCATGTTTCCCTAGCTCTTTCCTAGGGAAATTTCAGTCCCTCCACTGCTAGAAGTAGTCAGGGTAGCAGGACAGGAAATAAAAGCGTGTTTAAACATGTATAAGACCTAAGCTCTGACTTTCCTGCCGTGTTGTAAAAGCCTGTGGTGTGTAGAGGTAGAAGAACTGTTGAAATGCATTACTCTTGCTGTTTGGATGTCACATAGAGTCCCTTCCCCTCCTCTTTGCTGACAAATARCATTTTAAATACAAGGGGTAAGTAGTCCTCTGGTCACATACTCCAAGCACTTCTGGTTCAAGAGCGCTTTGGAATAGAGGTGAGGTCAGAGAGAGGTGTCTCAAAGAGAAGCCTAATATTACATGTGTGGTGAGAAAGAAAATAAGGAAATTCAATCTTGGAAGGAGACAAGGAGGCAAGTGTTCCCAGGCCAGCATGGCAGCTTGTTTGGTGACAGATCAGAAAGCATGATGCAAATGGCACTGCAAATTTTGTGGGTTTGCTTTTTTTTCTTCCAGGCAGAAGCATGGTCAATATTAAAAATTTTCTTGGAAGAGAAAAGGGCTAGGTGCAAGCTAGTTTTTGCACCACAATCATGGTGTTTCTGCTAACAAATTGTAGGGCTGGGTCTTTGAGTCATGCTGTGCTTGGTCCTTCCCTCTCAGGTAGCTTCTCTTGTGTCACTTTGCAGTCGTGATTCAGAGGAACACAATGTGCAAAAAATGTCTGGCTTTGCTAGGTCATCAGCTTTTATATGCAGCAATCCTAAAAGGTGTTGATGGTTCTTGCAGCAAAGTTTAACATTTACCCTATCTCTTGATTCAGCATAATGCAGTTCACTGAAAGCTTGTTCCTSTGGAACTTTTCTTTCATATGGTAACATCAGTAGAAGGAACAAGTTGTTATTCAAAAGCYTGGAAAGATATGGTGAATGAAATGCAAATGCCTCAGGCAGAGGAAAAGGCCTTGGGGTCAGTGGTGTCTGACAACTGGTGCTCCTTTGAAAGGCAAAATCATTTGAGGTGAATATTAAAAGCTTGGATGTTTGCTCATCATTCCAATTTCAGGTTCTGTATCTTTGAAGAGAAAAGGATAATTCTAGCCATTGGGAAACCTGATCCCTGATGGAGGTACTCTGCCTTTAATAAAAGTGTTCTATTTCAGAACTGTTGTTCACAAATCGCCTTATTGTGCAACTTTTCAGTTAGCCCCTTTCTGCAAGTTTCTCCATAAAGAAAACTGACAGGGTTAAGGATAATCTTGATGGGAAGTTCAGTGTGTGCTGTGGGCATTAGGTATTGTTAAGCAGCTGTAACAGAACACAGGGTGTAGTTTTCCCCGTGTTTTCCACTGGGGATAAATGTGGGAGCAGCAGAAAGGTGACTGAAGAGGCTGGCGTGTTGGTGGCATMCCTTGGCTCTATGAAGAGCTGTGTGTAATTCGTGGCTGTATGAAATCACCCACATAGCTGCTGTTGACTGAATTAGTATGTCATGATSCAGAAATCTCCAGCTATGTTTCCCAGACATGGAGAGTAAGAGGTGTTGCTTCCCATACTTTTTTGCTGCTCCAGCCTTGTTCCATTGTCTTTGGATAGTGACAGGGAAGAAGTATTCACACAGTTCCCCTTCTGAAGGGCTGCAGGAGGGAGCTGGAGGTGTTTGTCCCTGGTGGGAGAGGGAGCACGGTCTGTCCCTCTGGCCCGGTGGCCCRCTGCTGGCATGCCTGACACYGCACCTGGGGGCTGTGTTCAAACCRTGCTGTGGCCTTGCTCCTTACACGTGCACAGAGAAGCTTCCTTGAAGGAAACAGAGTGTGTAATGGGCAAGGCTCTGCCATGAGGGCAGGAAGGGGAGCCCCGGCAGCACAAGGACAGGGAGCTGACCTCACGTGTTCAGATCCCACAGCCTGGTGTGGCTCTCTTCCAGGGACCTTGTGGTCCAGAGCAGCATGTGCATTTTGTACACAGATATTAAACATGGCATATCCTGCGGTGTGTCATGGAAAGAACATTTTTCTAAAAAACTYGATAAAGAGAGCCTATGCTGAAGAGGCTGCAAGCTGGGCAAAGGAGGAAGTGGTTAATTTGAAAGTGCACATTTTGCATTTCCAGAAGGTGTAAGGAACAGTGGGTAAAGCTTCCTATGAGCAAGCTGCAGTTATGCTAATGTTTCCTTGCAGCTTCAGAAACAATTTTTCCCAGAGAAGGCAACTGGAGTGTTTTCCTGGTACTTTAAATTCACCTTGAATTAGTGGAAAGCACTTGGTATGGCTGCATAAAACATGAGCAGATTTGGGCAAGTWTGGGTACTGGGAAACACCAGGTGTAGGACACATGCTCTAACTGCGAGTTGTGGGTCAGTGAGCAATAATGATAAAAATAATAAATGATAATGATAAAAAAAAAAGCCAAGGGTGTGATAATCTGATTCACTGGCTGGCTTTTTTTTTTAATTTTTTTTTTTTGGGAGCCAAAGCTTGCCCTTTCTCATCTGAAATAGAGATCTTTTGCAAATATGCTCTTAAGACTGAGACCTTGACTGGCAGTGGCCTGCTTCTTCTGCGAGATATTTGTGGCAGAGGGGAGGTGCTAAGAGTTATGACAGGTATTTGATGCAGCTTGGGTGCTGTAGGAGGCCCTCCCATCCCAGCTCCAWGTGGTGTTTGCCAACAGGAGACATTTGGTTGCATATTCCAA